TGTTTATGTCCTATGAGAGTTCTATAAATTTACTATTTGTCAAATTTGACTCACAATTTCTTTTCATTTACAACAGATTTTCTCAATTATCAACCTGAAATGTTAGCGTCACCAGATGTCACATTATGACGATAACTCATGTCCAGTACGTTATATGTATACATTGTGGGCACCGTTTAAGGGATTCTAACGAACTAAGGATAACATGGACGCCATTATAGAGGCTCGAGAAACAAAATTTGATTGGTTTATTTATGTTATAAATACAAACGGTTTTATCGAGTTATGACTCATCGAAAAAAAAAAGTCAAGCTACAGCTCAATGCAACCATAACAGCATTGATTTTAAATTATCTTGCAGTATGGTTTAACTTGCTATTATTGATAAATGGCAGAAACTCAATTTGAATTTTCGGAAAATCTCGATTAGAATTGAAATTTATTTTAAAAATCTTGTGGCCTCCTTTCGCTTAAGTTTCTCAAGCTATTTTCGCGTTTTGATTCCTTATCCGTCTTCTTTTATTTTTTTCGTAAAAAGTTACAACTATAGCATGCGGAGTATATCATTTGTTTATATGATGAGAATCTTAGGAATTTTTATCAAACATATATTGAATTTTCTCACTAAATCAATTGAATTATATTTAACATTACTCTACATGCCATAATACAAGAACATTACTTTATAGAAACTTCTTGTTAGATCAAAAATTGCCTTATTTTCTTCGTTCATAGTCAAATTTCTACTATCTGTTTGCTGATACTGAATATTGGTTGCAGTTTGATGGTATCTAAATTGACATTTGATTTTTAGTTTTTATTATCACATGGCTGAATTGATTTTTTAAAATTCTATTAAAAGATAATTGTAAACTGCACATATCTGAATAAACATTGTTTATGGAATGTACGAATCAGAACTAACAGAGTCAGATTCTGTGTTACTTTAGAAATCAAAAACACAAAATCAAGAACATTGTTAAAGAACAATTCGTGATCTGGTGAACTTTAAATGAACAATTTAAATAATGCATAAAATAAAATAGAAATTCATTGTTCTCAGCAAAAGTCTAGAAATCCGCTTTCACAAGTATCTATTCTGATCTTCCTTCATAGAGTCAAGTACAGAAAAATATTTTTCAGCGTACAATGATACTAATCTTCTTAGATTGTTTTTCTATTTTATTTCTGTTGCAAATATTTTCATTTTTCACTCACTTGTTTAGTTGCCGTGGCGCCTGAAAAATCTACGCGTTCGATAGACATCACACTCTTACAGGTTTTAAGTCTCGGGTGCGGGTGTGGGGTGTGGGTGTGTAGGGTGTGGGTATGGGTGTGGGTGTG